AGCTTATATCAGGAGTGGACTGGGCGTGACGTCACCATAGTGGCAGCATTAATGCAGAAGAGGCTGATCCAAAAGCCTAGAATGGTTCAAGAAGCGACCTTTTGCGAGTGCTTGTATATTGTAGTAATGTTAAATGTTATGTAGATTTAGTATTTTTCTTTATGCATGCATTATTCTATTTTTTACTCTTATAACTTGTTGCGCCGAAAGCCAAATCAATTTCCTAGTTTGTGACTTCCTGTTACTCACAATGGCATTATATACAACTATGCGCTAGTAGTTTATACTTGCTTCTTGTTATGCTAAAAGTAGAATAGTTTTATTTTTCATGCTAGAGTTAAAGATTTTATTTTATTTTGTATAGAGTTATTGAGCAATTCTCTTGTGTTGTGTGCTCCTGTAACTGGTCATGCAACAGTGAAATTTCCCCACTGTTAGACAAATTAAGGATCTCTTCATCTCTTAATCTTAAAAATAATGCTGATTCTGATTGGACCATCACTACGTGTCTCTGTGATTCTGAACGTGTTGCTAACGCGCCTGTCCGTCCCGCAGGAGCCATCCTGGGCCGCTCGGAGACGCAGGAGTGTGCCTACTATAACTCGAGCTGGGAGAAGGAGCGCACCAACCGCAGCGGCATCGAGCCCTGCTACGGCGACAAGGACAAGCGGCTGCACTGCTTCGCCACCTGGAAGAACGTGTCGGGGAACGTGGAGGTGGTAAAGCAGGGCTGCTGGCTGGACGACGTCAACTGCTACGACAGGTAACCGCAGCCGTGAGAGCGCAGACTCAAATCTGATGTTTGGAGCTGGGGTTGACATCGATTTAATTAAAATAACTGTTTTTGACGATCTCCACTCATTCCACCAGCTCGAGAGTACCCCTTAGATGTGTGATAAAAACCCGTCTCCACTTGGACTAGAGGCCTCCCTAATCCCACTTGGGCTGTACTGGAGATTTTACCCATAGGCCTTAACGCACTCTAGTCCAGGGGTCCCCAACCTCTTTCACCCGGAGAGACTAGAATGAGACACAGCTGGGGAGTTTATTGAAAAGTGATTTATTACATTTTTGCTGTGGGCATATAAATCATAAGAATTTTAATATTAAATGTAATTCTTTGGGATACTGCTTGGAAGAGGTTGGCGAGCTACTGGTAGCTCCCAAGCCACAGATTGGAGTCCCTGCCCTAGTCTCTTTTTGGTCTCTCAATGGTTTCTTTGGTCTCTCTCTGGACTTTCTCTGGTCTCTCTCTGTCTCTCTCTGTTCTCTTTCGGGTCTCTCTCTAGTCTCTGGTCTCTCTGATCTCTCTCTCTCTGGTCTCTCGCTCTGGACTCTCTGATGTCTCCAGAGAGAACCTGGTTGTTCTGGTCTTTCTCAGGTCTCTCTCTCCCTGGTCGCTCTGGTCTTTCTCTCTTTTGTCTCTCTCTCCCTGGTCTCTCTGATCTCTCTCTCTCTCTGGTCTCTCTGGCCCCTGCCTCTGAAGCAGTCCCAGGTGTCTCACGCATATCCAGAGTTCACCTCAGATCTCGGCGCTCGTATTACCGCCGCCGCTGCATTTTAGTCCCGTCTCTCCTTTGCACTCACTGTTCTCCTCCTGTCGCCCTCAGCACTGAGTGTGTGGAGAAGAAGGAGAGCCCTGACGTCTACTTCTGCTGCTGCGAGGGGAGCATGTGCAACGAGAAGTTCCTCTACGCTCCGCACGGCCCGCCCCAGAGCCAGACCCACCAGTCCACCGCCTACAGTGAGTGTGAGCACCATCCAACTATATGCACTCAGTAAACACCTATTCAAGAGGTTGTGGTCTCTCTCTAGTCTCTCTCTTGTCTTTCTAGGGGATTCTGGCCTCTGTCGTCTCTCTCTTTTTTCTCTTGCTGGTCTCTCTCCGTGGTCTCTCTCATGTCTTTCTAGGGTTTCTGGTCTTTCTTTCTCTGGCCTTTCTCAGGGGTCTCTCGTTTCCTTCGAGGGGTTTCAGGCCTCTCTCGTCTCTTTCTTTGGTCTGTCTCTCGTCTTTCTAGGATTTTTGATCTCTTTCTCTGAGCCCCCTCTCTGGTCTGGGTTTCTGGCCTCTCTTCTCTCTCTTTGGTCTCTCTGGTCTTTCTCCGTCGTCTCTCTCTCTGGTCTCTCTCTGATCTCTCCCTCTGGTCTCTCTCAGGTCTCTATCGTGTCCTTCGAGGGGTTTCAGGCCTCTCTCGTCTCTTACTTTGGTCTGTCTCTCGTCTTTCTTGGGTTTCTGATCTCTTTCTCTGATCCCCCTCTCTGGTCGGTCTCGTTTTTCTAAGGGTGTCTGGCCTCTCTTCTCTCTCTCTGGTCTCTCTACGTGGTGTCTCTCTCTGGTCTCTCTATGGTCTTTCTAGGCTTTCTGGTCTCTTTCTCTAATCTTTCTCTGGTCTCTCTCTGGTCTCTCTCAGGTCTCTCTCTGTGAATGTAATCACTATCGAATGATGATCTGGGAAAACCACAGGACATTTGAATTTTCCACATCTCTTTCATAAATCTCTTCTCTCCCTTGTATGAAATGGCCTGAAATACTGAAATAGAATTCTAGGCAAGGCCCTAAAATCTTTGATAAAAAAAGAGCACTGAATCTATGATATTTTCCCGCTCACTTTTGCCCATGTTTCAAATCTAGTTGAAAAAACAAATGTTTACTTTTGTACGGCTGAGTCTGGTAAGCTCTGATCAAGTCTGGTAAAGTCCGGCATGGTCTGGTTTTCCAGTAAATGAATTGGATGTACCATTTTGGAACATAGTGTACAAATCAGGCCATTGATTCCTGGACAAAGGCCACCACGGTCAAAAGGACACGCCGCCTCAACCAACAGAATTGTATAATTATATGCAAAATATTAAAACTGAGCCTCACGCTGATATTGAATGGTTTTTCTATAGTGTAGTTTTGTAGTGATAGTATTCACACAATCACCTCTACTATATTCCTCCACTACCGGTTGGTTTGCCCCACGGCAGTGGGGGGAGGGGAACAGCCATTGCGCTGATGGTGGCCGAGGATGGGCTGGGTCACTTAAAGTTCACTTATTTTTGGCTTGGGATTACATGATGTCACAAGAGGCTTCAGTAATCTCCCGCGCCGGAAGAAGTGTTCAGCTCCTGATGTAAAAGTCAAATCTTTTTCTGAATGCCAACTCTGCACGATGAACTTGGGGAAGGGGCTTTGTAGAGAATGTCAAAAATCATAACGGATTTATGGACATGTCTCTCTCTATTGACTCAATAGCTGGTTATACTTTCTTAGGAATAGCATGTACAAGTTTCTTATAATGACCAAACAATTGTATTTCCACAATTAATTCTTTTGATCTGAATGTTAAGTAAGAATAGAAGAAAAGGTTCTGTTTATAGTTTATTTTGGTGGCCGATATATTCATCCTCAACTTTGTTTCTTTTGTTTTGTATTAATCCAGACTTTTGTGCCACAACCTCTGCTCGCTCCTGACTCTCTGATCACCAGCTCTCTGATTGGTCAAATAGATATTTACTAGCAATGGCTAGTGTGTTTACTGTTTAGTTATCTTTGTCATATTGATGTTGATTGATTTCAAAATTAAGGGCAAAATTAAGGGCGACAGTAGCTCAGTTGGTAGAGCATTGGCCTTTGGGCCTGAAGGTCGTGGGTTTGAGCCCACCGTAAGACCTACTTCACGACTCCCACTGATGACTGCTGTCGTTGTGTCCTTGGGCAAGACACTTAACCCCACTTTGCCTGAAGCCCCCACTGAAAGATCTCAGCTCCTGTGGACTCACCACCTGCAGGAGGATCAGTGAGGGGCTGGTGCTAAGTGTACTGGGTGCAGCTCTGACTGCCACCCCCCCGACCCAGAAATGGATTAAGGGGAAGAAAATGGATGGATGGATGGATGGATGATTTCAAAATTGGAACACAAGTGTATTTTTTATTTGCATTTCAATGGTTTTTAGCTTTTGCAACAGGACATTGGATATAGGAGAAAAACCTATATTTGCTTCATTGCTCGCGGGTTATCATTGTCCACTTGTATACAGTCTATGGTTCTTACACGACACCTCTCTCTCCGCAGCGACGTCCAACCCGTTCCCGCCAAAGCCACCCATCTTCAGCACGCTGCTCTACTCGCTGGTGCCCATCGTGGGGCTGGCGGCCGTGGTCCTCTTCTCCTTCTGGATGTGGAGGCATCACAAGCTGGCCTATCCTGCCGCCCTGGTGCCCACTCATGTAAGTACAGCTGCAGACGACACACTGCGAGTCTACAGAGACCTGGGGGTAGCATCACAACTGTCTTTTTCTCCCGTCCACACTGATGTGCAGTGAACAGGGCTCTGTGAAAGAAAGCATAGGTTTGTATGTGATGTCCTTTAGTTATTGTGTGGAAATATCCTCAAAAGGTGACATTAGAGGGGTGCTAAGGGCTAACCCAGCCCTAATGCACTGTACATTCATACACTAATACTGTCCCAGTATAAGTATAAATATAAATATATATATACAGTACAGACCAAAAGTTTGGACACACCTTCTTATTCAAAGAGTTTTTTATTTTCAGTGTGAATCTACAATTTTCATAATCATGAAGGCCTTCAATTCCCACCTCTGCACCTTCTCCATCGATTCCCACTGATGACTGCTGTCGTTGTGTCCTTGGGCAAGACACTTAACCCCACTTTGCCCAAAGCCCCCACTGAAAGATCAAGGCTATGCTCACAGTCAGAGAGCAGCCGTCCTCCTGTGGACTCACCACCTGCAGAGGGTCAGTGAGGGGCTGGTGCTATGAGACTTGGGTGGCATCTCTGATTGCCACCCCCCTGACCCAGAAATGGATTAAAGGGTAGAAAATGGATGGATGGATGAAGGCCTCAAAACTGGGAATTATGTACGTACAAAAGAAATAGTTTGAAACAACTGAGAATATGTCTGGGTTCTTCAAAGTAGCATCTTTTGCTCTGATTACTGCTTCACTCTATGACATTCTCTTGATTAGCTTCAAGAGGACCTGAAATGGTCTTCAACAGTCTTGAAGGAGTTCCTAGAGGTGCTTAGCACTTGTTGGCCCTTTCGCCTTCACTCTGTGGTCCAGCCCCAAAACCATCTGGATTGGGTTCAGGTCCGGTGACTGTGGAGGTCATGTGGCCCAGCACCATCACTCTCCTTATTGGTCAAACAGCCCTTACACAGCCTGGTGTGGATCTACAGTCAATAGTCATGAAACAAAAGGAAACTCTTTGAATGAGAAAGTGTGTCTAAACTTCCTGGATCTACAGCGTCAGTCCTGGATCTACAGCCTCTGTCCTGGGTCTACAGCCTCTGTCCTGGGTCTACAGCGTCAGGCCTGGGTCTACAGCGTCAGGCCTGAGTCTAAAGCCTCTGTCCTGGATCTACAGCCTCAGTCCTGGATCTACAGCCTCAGTCCTGGATCTACAGCCTCAGTCCTGGACCCACAGCCTCGGTCTTGGATCTACAGCCTCAGTCCTGGACTCACTGCCTAGGTCTTGGATCTACAGACCAATGGCACTTATGTGTTATCGTCGCATTTCCTGTGACTGATTCTGGAAAACAAGGAAATTGGTTAAAACAAAAAAAGTGAGTAATAGCAAATACAAATAAGATTTCTGCCTCTTTCCAAAGAAACTTTCACATTTGGAGGAGAAAGTTCAGCCTATAGCACCGACATCAACACCAAAGTTAATAGTGCCCTACCCGGCTCAAAGCGGCACCCACCTGCACCCTGGGGCCCTCGGACTCATTACGGAGGCTTTTAAACCTCACTCATTACTTCCTCCACATTTAGCAATCGTATTTGTTTGTGATTATTACCAGCGATCAGGCGCCGAGCCTCCAGCGCGGAGCAGAGGCGGTTCAGGGTCACCGTCTCCACCCCAGCGCCGACCTCTGGGGTGGACGTGGGTCAACTGTGGTGAGTTTCTGTTGTTGACCCCGAGACTCGAGAAGCTGATGTGTCCGTACGATGTTGTTTGTGCTGGAGTTTCCGGCTGAAGAAGCAGAGATGAGACTCAGAACAGTTGATCTCAAACTTCTCTCACAGTTTGTTTTTACGACCTCCCGTAGAAAAAACATTGACCTTGAAGATAAACATTAGGTAAAAACTAGCCTGGTCTTGCTATACCATCGTACTCATTTCATGTTGTACTAAGGTCTGGATTTCTCTATTGAGCTTCGTTAACAGGTGGGAGGGGTTAACTCCTTTTGCAGATTGAATTGATTGGTTTTGAGTTTATCGTGACTTTTGTAATGTGCCTGACGTTAGCAATTAGCATCGCTTTAGCATTTATCCTAGCTTTAGCCACAACATCTTTGCAGCAATGACATTTACTAAACATTCCTCTTGCTCCGGCTTCAGTTTCTTGATATTTGGATTGAACCAGAACAGATTATTTTACTATCACATTCTCCGCCAAACTACAACCAGCAAATTCAGCACAAACTCTTGACGTCACCGACTCGACCTACAACACCCGCCTCCCCCGCTCTCTGATTGGTCGGAGGGGATTCAAACGAGGAAACTGCAGCCACTAGGATCAGACCCAGACGTACATGCAGGAGATGATCATGGACCAGAGTTTATAGATGGCTAATACCAGGCTAGCATGTAAGGGCACAACACGACTCCTTCAAGACACCAACTGGAGCCCGACTTCCCTCTGTCACACGTTTACAAAGAAGCAAAGTCTCGAAGCGCTCCATCTCCTCGTGCCGCTGTGTAAATGTGTCTTAATTACTGCACATATTTAGAGAGAGGAAGAGGAGGAGGAGGAGGAGAGCTGACAGAGAGCGCAGATGAAGGGCCCTCTGCCCGCGGCCCGCTAATGTTGACATTGTTAATTGATCTAATTGTGAGAATGGTACCTCTGACGCGGGACGTGTGGGATGAAAGCCTGGGCTCCGGTTCCTCTCGTTCGGGACGGAGAGTGATGCGCTCGGGGGTAATTGAGCCTAATGAACGAGCGTCCGGGGAGCTGCTCCGGTCCTGCGCCATGTGACGAAGAAGTTTGTATCTGTGATTTGCATTCCGAAATCTTTATATGCTGTTCTTTATCATTTTTTGGCATATTTAGATCCTCATTTTTTTCACACCTTAACGCTTCTAGTTCATAATAATAAAACAAATAATACATCAAACTTATATCACGATTTTTTGGACACTCAAAGACGCTACAAAACGCAGAAGAAGTATGGGGTAAGGTTGCTGTCAATGAAAAAAATGCGTTTAGAGAGGGACAAGAAACATCTCCTTATGAACACATTTTATGGAATTAATATTTCTTACACATTCATTTACGACCAAAATGATAAAATATATTTATACCTAATTTTGAGCCACGTTGTTAATGTTGTTGCCCTCTGCCATGTTTAGTTTTTTGGCTATGAAGTGGATCAACTCTGCTCAGGCTCGATTGTTAATGTCTGTGAGCCGTGACGTCATATTGACAGTTTGCTCACTGCTGAAAATCTTATTCAAAAGTACGAAATCACACATACAGTTTTATACTTTCTTATTCTTAATTACAAAATTCCATGTCTTTTGAGTTTGTATTATCTTAATCATGAAATAATAAAAATTGTATGCCCAAATACCAATAAATATGCACGCATTTTTCAGACACACACCTCTTTATTGACAGTAACCTTACCCCTTAAAGAAGAAAATGGCTGAAACAGGTGGGTTTTGAGTCGGAGCTTCTGATTGGTTGGTGGGGGTGAGTTCCGGAGGGTGGGGGCGGTTACGGCGAAGGCTCGGTCCCCCAAGGTTCATGGTTTAGTCCTGAGTCCTTGTTCATGTTTTTAAATTTGTCTCTTTGTATTTTAATGTATTTTTTCTTCTGGAATGTTGTGTTTCTACTCATCCCTGGGACACGCAGAATTCTGTTTACATTTTTCTGCAGTTTTTTCGACGATGATGGAGAAAGTTTGTTTTGTGTGTGACTGTCCTGATGTTTTTTCATGTTTGTATATTTGTGAACACACATTTACAAATCTTCACCAAATGTTTTGCATAAAGAAATCTTTCTTTTTCGTTTGTGAATGTGAGACATTTGCTTTACAAATATTTTATTATTACTATTATTTTTTCAACATTCAAAAGTCCAAGCAAACCTATATTTATAAATCTACCCCGAAAAAAAAAATGTCTGGTGCACTCTGGGGTAGTCTTGCACAGTTTTTCCAATGTGGTTTTGCTGCAAATAGCAAATAAATTTTTGTATTTTGTAAGCCAAGGACGATAATATTGGGGGAAAAAAAATTACATTTAAAAACAATACATGCAGCACAGATACTGAGATGGGGAGCCGTGAATTTATGTGTGTGGAACAGTCGAATAAATACACAAAATTGACAGAATTGTAGAAAAAAAGATTAAAAAACCTACTCATAAAATGTATTTCTGTGTAGACACATCCAAATATCAGGCTTCACTGCAAAAAACGATTAGATATGAGGAAATATTTGGTTGAATCGAGTGTTTTTTTATCATAGCATTTACAACTGGCTGAGAAACCTAGCAGCTAAATACATTATTTTGTGTATTTTTAGTGCTCCCAGTCCGGTCTGTGCTGCAACACTGAAATTCCCCGCATAAAGGATTTTAAAACTTATATTTTGAGCACATTATAACTGTTTTAAAACAAGATTCTTCAATGGGACAAAGTCGTTTAGTCTGATTTCAAGAACTGTTACTTTTATTTTCTCATTCCAAGGGAGACATTTCTTCTATATTTTTAAAAACATCATTTTGTGTGTCCCATTGGCTAATCTTGTTTTAATACTTTATTTTTGAGTTTTTGCCTTTACAATTCAAGAAGAATGTCATAATTTAAAAAAAACAAAAAACCTCACAAGGCAACATTTATAATGCAAAGAAAGGATGACATAAAATACAATATAAGAAAACAATTAAGGCAGAAATAAAATATATTATATTAAAAAAATAATATATATTAATATATTATAATAATACTACAAATATGGGCGGCACGGTGGCTGAGTGGATAGCACTCTCGCCTCTCAGCAAGAAGGTCCTGGGTGCTTTCTGAGTGGAGTCTGCGTAGGTTTCCTCTGGGTGCTCCGGGTTCCCCTACCACAAAAAATATGTACAATAGGTCTGGCATGTGTGTCACGGGTAAACAAGGAAGGACCCATAAGCAGAACTGCAAAAATAATATAATTTAATAAACACCACAAAAAGTATAACTGAAACCGGGAACAAGACATGGGGGAAAAATAACAATGAACCGACAACAAGAGGACAGGAGCACAGGGTCTAAATACACACAGGTAGACACAGGTGTAGCACATCAGGGAGGGGCAAACAATCAACGAGACAGACAGGAAGTAAAACTTACGACAAGAGAACAAACATATCAAAATAAAACCAGATACATCAACAGAAAGTCCACACCATGACAATGTGCCTCCTGAACTGGTGACCCCCACTTCCAAAAAAATCACAATTGTAAAATAATAATGAAAAAAAAAAAAAAAAAGGGTATAAATTAAATATTTATATGTATACATACGCACACACGTACATATATATATATATATATATATATAAACACACACACAAATGCACACATACATACATATTCATTTTTGTAATATATATCTCCTTCATGCACATGCAGCTGTGCGTACACCCACAAAACCAATTAGCATCAGCTTCATTCTCCCATTGTCTTATTCATACATTATATGCATGTACCTATAGTTACTTATAAATAAAATGTAATAGTGGACCAGTTATACCAAATGAAAGAAAAGAAAAAGAAAAAAAGGAGTTGATGAGGAGTTCCATTGACTGAAAAATGGTTTCTTTGTTCCTTGGCAAATCTTGTTTTAATGCAGTCAAAATACGCTCCAAATAAGACACATTTAGTCAAATCTGAGCATATCCCGATTTATTTATCCTTCCTCTTTGTGTGTTCACTGTGATCAGCTCATCTTCAGGTTCTCAGGTGGCTTCCAGACTCGACAAACACAACACAAAAACACACTTCTTGGAGCTCTCTCGGTTTTCTAGAGGTGTCATCTCCATAATCTTAGTTTGTAATAATCCCGTGCAATTACCCCGCCACCACAACAACAACTCCAACCATCAGCATCTCAGGAGCAGATAAGGCCTCAGTTCAAAGCGGCGACGGCGGGATTATCCGGTCCGGACCCGAGATGCGGGGCCCCTTGCTCGCCGTACGAAGGGGCCCGGTTCTCCGAGGGCCCCGCGCGCAGATAAGAGAATTACCAAACAACAAGCGGTGTTTACGAGAGGCGCTTTAGGCGACTCGATCGAGCTGATATCGCCGGCGGGCTGAAGGCGGGAGAGCGGAGGAGGCGGGTCTTGTTTGAAGGAGAAGGTCAGGGACGATAGGGCTGAGGCTGAGGACCAGACCCGTGGGCATGCAGGGGACATCCAAAACGAGGCCCCCCTGAACCCGGTTTTTGAAGACCCCTGCGTCATGGTGTGGCTTTGTATGCTGCTCCATTGTATTGTCTTTGTCTTTGTTCCTGGTTCCGTTTTGGATTTAGAGTTTCATTTTCACCCGGACATTTTATTTAACATCATAATTAAAACCTTATCTTTGACATTCTTGCTGTTTGAGTCCTCCATCACTTTACCACATGACGCCCCTCATGACCGGCACTTTATGCTACTATCACTTTAACTGCACTGCTGAATGCAAAGTTAGTAGTCATCTTCATGTATTTACTGTATGTAGCGCAAATTTTTGTAGAGCAAGGTCCCCCAAAGTGCTTTACAATGTTCAGAGTTCAGATGTTGTCTCATTCTCTCCACACACGGCAATGACGGAAGCGAGACGCCGAACACACTGGTCCATCAAAGCCTCCGACCCAACACCGTCCAGTCACTCACTCATTACATTCAGACCTTTTGTGAATGTTTTTAGTGGTAGGGGAAACTGGAGCACCGAGAAGAAACCTACAAAGACACAGGCAGAACATGCAAACTCCACCCAGAAAGGCCCTGCTCCGACCGGGATTTGAACCCAGGAACTCACTTACTTATTTAATATTTGTAAGTAAAGGAAACGGTCACATAATTGCAAAATAAAGTGTCCAGTTTTGAGTTTGCTTCCAAGTTTGTTGTGTGGATTAATAATTAGATAATATTGTGAGAATAGAATAATCTGGATATAGGCGCTCAGGAATATACATATCTGTGAATATGTGCACATTTACAGTATAAACTGGCCTTTGAGCCTGAAGGTTGTGGGTTCGAGCCCACCACGGGACCTTCCACCGACTCCCACTGACGTCTGCTGTTGTTGTGTCCTTAGGCAAACACACTTCACCCCCATAGCCTAGAATGAGTCTGGTGTGTGTGTGAATGGTTGGTGGTGGCTGGAGGGGCCGATGGCACAGACTGGTGGCCTCACTTCTGTCAGTGTGCCCCAGGGCAGCTGTGGCTACAGTAGTTTATCACCACCGTGTCTGGAGTGAATGCATAATGACATGTCACTTAATAACAGGTGACACTTTTTAAATGTTTTTTAATCTGTTTTATTTTTTTTTATGTATAAGTGTTTTAAATGGATTTTATGTAATTTTATTGTGAAGCACTTTGGTCGCCTTGAGTGTTGTAAAGGGCCCTATAAATGAAATTGATTGATTGATTGATTGATGTGAAGCGTCTTTGAGTGTCCAAAAAAGAAGCTGATGCATTTTTATTATTATAAAAATACAGAGATACTTTACAATATTCAGAAATCAGATATTGTTCCATTCTCTCCCCATAGTAGGACATTTTAAATCTGAACATTGGTCTGTAAAACGCGCTATATAGATAAACATGACTTACTTACAGGACCACCAGGCTCCTCCCTCCCCGGCCCCTGTGCTGTATAGACACACACAACAAACTTGGAAGCAAACTTAAAACTGCACTTTTTTTGTAGCAATTATCTTAAAGTTTACTTCAAAATCAAAACCCAAAAATGTCGTCGTGGCAACCCTCTCCACCTGACCGCACCTCGGCTCTTGACCGCGCCATGACCCGCCCGCCACGGCTCTTCAGGCATCCACCAAAACAACAAAAGCCTTTTTTTTTGTTTTTTCTTTTTTTCTACAGCGCCTTTCTTCTTCTCCTCTCTGCGTTCCCTCCATCATGTTGATAAATCTGGAGGAATCTCAATTAGGCGCGGGGCCTGAGCGCACGTATTCAAATGTGGTCAAGAATCTAATTAGCTGGAGGTAATTAAAGAGTGGCGCGCAGGTCGTTAATCTTTCGTTGGACCTTTGATGTTTCGCATACTGTCTTGCGAGTCATTAATAAAATTCATAACGCTTTTCCTTTGTGCTGTTTTATCACTGCGCGCTCCCCAACCCCGTCCCCCCCGCCTCCTTGCGCCTCCCCAGACAGTTCCAGTGTGGCGTCAACACATCTCGGCACTTCGCTCACTTTGGCCGCGCGCTACACACAAACTTGCGGCAGGACCTTGACCCCTCCCGCTTTTTAAAATGTATGTATTATTTTTTTTGAGAGCACAATTACGTCGGCAGATCAAATGAATTTCTTGCGCCTCGTTTGGAGCGTGACGCGCCGGGGTGCGTCGGTGTGCGCTGGAGTGCGCTGGAGTGCGGCCGCGGCTCTACAGTGTGCGCGCGGAGAGGCCATTGTGTCGTGGTAATGAAAGTCGCTCAAGGCGCGCCGTTGTTGTCGAACGTGTAAATACAGAATGGGATAAAAGATACGTCCCCATAAGCGCGCCGCCACAAAAGCTTTCAGAGAAAAATAATAATCTGTGATATTAACTTGAAACTTCATAAACTTGTAACATAACTTTGTATCGTACTTTGGATTTAAAGCTGGTGTCGTTTCAGTTGTGATTCGTCGTTAAAACATCTCTTTGTTTTTCACACGTTTGCAGTAATAGAATTGGTCCCTGATGACGCTCTGTGGGATTCTCTTGAGGATTCGGTCGTTTATTTGACGGTTAAATCAAATAATTAAGAATGTTGGACAGTTTGTTGGATGGGTGCCATGAGGAAGGATCTCTGTAGCAGCGGCTTCACCTCGGTCCTCAAAGCAAACTTCTGTGGTTGTAGCATGGTGGTTCGCGCTCTCGCTTCTCAACAGAAGGTCCAGGGTTGGAATCCCGATCAGAACAGGTCCTTTCTGAGTGACGTTTTCATGTTTGCGTAGGTTTCCTCCAGGTGCTCCGTTTCCTCTACCACTAGAAACATGTTCAATAGGTCAAACCCTGCAGCTCTGGAACATTAACCACTACAAGTACCTGATACTACGGCGACCCCAGCTCCTGACAGGATGGGTCAAATGCAGAGGACACATTTCCCGTGGACGTTAAAGTAAAACTACGATGAATATTTTGAAAGAAAAGGAGAAAAGAGCCAGAACTAGTTCCATTAAATTGAATCCAGCCTCCTGGGATTACAGACGAACATGAGCCTTTGGCTACAATCTGCCGTGTTTACAATGTGTTTAACATATGTTGAACATACTGTACATGTTCATGACATGTGCTGTGCCAGTCAAATAAAAACACACATAGAAACACACACAGCCGCAGCTGAAGCAACGGTTCAGACGTAACCCTAACCCTACTTACTTTATAGATCTGAAATGTTAGAGTTGTTATAGATATGAAATGTTAGAGTTGTTATAGATCTGAAATGTTAGAGGTGTTATAGATCTGAAATGTTAGAGTTGTTATAGATCTAAAATGTTAGAGTTGTTATAGATCTGAAATGTTAGAGTTGTTATAGATCTGAAATGTTAGAGTTGTTATAGATCTGAAATGTTAGAGTTGTTATAGATCTGAAATGTTAGAGTTGTTATAGATCTGAAATGTTAGAGTTGTTATAGATCTAAAATGTTAGAGTTGTTATAGATCTAAAATGTTAGAGATGTTATAGATCTGAAATGTTAGAGTTGTTATAGATCTGAAATGTTAGAGTTGTTATAGATCTAAAATGTTAGAGTTGTTATAGATCTGAAATGTTAGAGATGTTATAGATCTGAAATGTTAGAGTTGTTATAGATCTGAAATGTTAGAGTTGTTATAGATCTGAAATGTTAGAGTTGTCAGTATTTGAGGAATGCATATTTCTATTGAGCCTAAACCCTCAGAAGTCACGCCTCATTATTCTCCTGTTTAAGGCTTTTTCTCTCAGATCAAGCCGCAGAAATTGAATGTTTATTAAATTCCCCGCCGCTTTTACGCCGTCTAAAAATGTCATTCGCGCACACGCACCTTTACAGTTCCACACGACGTGCGGCACATAATCTGTTTAACTCCGGAGCCTCAGGTCGTTCCCTGATCCTCATTCATTTCCCACTTTCTGCTTTTTTAGCTCAAAATCTCATGTTACGTCATCCGTGTGCACCACGGCACACGTCGGCGCCGTGTCGTACCTGGCGTGCACAAAACAAACCAGGCCGCAGTTTTTTTCATTGAGTGCCATGTGCTGATCTTGGGGGAGATTGGAGGGGGGGATCGGGGGCGGGTGTCGGGAGAGTAGGTGTGAATTATGCAAATGTGCGCTCTCTGACACAAACTTGGAGGCTGCTGCGGCGGAGCAGCGGTGCGGCCTCTACCTCCAGGCCCGGCTTATCTCCTCGCCTCTTTCGCCGAGATTACCGTAAGCACTTCGGCATTGTATACCCCCCTCCTCATCTGCGCTTTATCAGGTGGAGAATACCTCACAATCCACCTCCCCCCCTCCCCCACGCCTCCCTCGTCCCCCCCCGTCACCACCGCACGCCCGCGCTGCCTCCAAGGACCGCCGCCCTTATGTTTGCCTGTTTATATTTAGCCCCACGCACTTCATTTTCACTATAAAAGCAGCACATGACACGCAGGGGGAGGGGGGAGGGGGGTACAGGGGTACAGGGGGAGAGGGGGGGGGGGGGGGGGGGAGGATCAAACGAGACTATCTGGCAAATCAAAGGTACAGGAAACGTGCAGATGTCATATTTAAACGGTGGGAAGAGATGGAGGGAGCTGCTTATTCACAAACATGTATATTTCATGTCCTGAACCAGGCGCGGCTTCTGTCTAACACAAACAAAAGGGGGAGAGGGGGGAGAGAGAGGGGGGGGAGAGAGGCTTTGGAGATAAGTCACGGCATAATACAACGACAATATTGATTCAGGAAGTGGAAGGTATAGAGTGAGAATGTGACAAAGTGCTATGGTTTTTGCATTTGACCCAGAATCAACACAATTTAAAATCAGGAAACACAAATAATATTCATTTGTTTCTGTAATTTATTTAAAAATGTGAAACCGATAAATGGTACTGACATGGACACACACACACACATGCACACACACACACACACACACTCTCACATCAACAAGAATGAGAGAGAGACACACACAAATACCATAAACACACACACACACACACACATGTTTATAGTCTGTATTTGTGTGTATATACGTGTACATGTGTGTGTGTCTGTGTGTGTGTCCTTGCATGACACACACAGAGGGAGAACGTGCAAACACATAAAACCCTTTGCGTCCTGGGAGCGAGACGTGGATCTCAAACTAAACCCGCTCTGTTTCTCGTCAGTCTTTGTGGCGAGTGTTTGCGAGCACCTTGAGCTGCGGAGACAACACTCGTTTGTGGATAATGACTTTGGTGCTTTGGGCCCCGTTTGTGTGTTGTGCGCCCCCTGGAGGCCGGTGGCGGTTGTCGAGGTGCGCAGCAGCCGCAGGTATTTTCGGTGTTTGTTTGGCGTCCCCGCTGTTAGCGCTGGGAGAATAGGAAGACTTTGTTTTAGCGGCTCCTGCCTCGACTATAATTAAACCTGCTCGTTAACAATAGCCGCTAATGAGGACGGCGGCGGGGCACAAAGGGGGCTGATTAGGGGAAGGGGGGACGCAGGGGGGGGCGGGCCTCCAGCAGACGCACACCTGCACAGGTTCGAACAACAAAGGGACGATGATGCGAGAGTGCGGCTACAGCCAGGTGCACAGGGAGAACAGATAATGTGACATCACAACAGAAGTGAAAGCTGGAGTACCTCAGTTTTGTGTCAGAAATAATAAATATACTGATTTTGTACCAACTGAAAAAAGTTATTTAAAAGTAAAATGTTTCATCGTATTAGAACACATTTGATCTATGTGTAAGCAAGAGCCCTTTGAGTCACTTTCTGAGCTTTTGGGGAGAGAGCTGATTGGCTGAGGGAGGGTGGGCTGCAAAAATGGATGAAAGTTTCATTTTGATTCAAGTAAAACTTTCAAAACAATATATGCTGATGGAACAATCATGACATTTTCAAAAATTTAACTCAAATTAGCTTCAAGAAATGAAGTCCAGATACATGTCACCTATTTCTTACTTCTTTTGTGTCGTTTGGTCCAATGTGGTTCTCTCCTTTTCTCTTCACCGTCTGAAAAAGCGGAGCTAAAGATGTGACAGAGGCCGAAAATACATGAACCGGTGATCGCAGAAACTGTTTTAGAGCCAGGACTAGAGACATGGGTTTTATCGCAAAGATCTGAATTATATATGGTCGAAAAGTTAGGTAGAGGGTAGAGAGCAGAGAGAGCAGAGAGAGAGAGAGAGCAGAGAGAGAGAGAGAGAGAGAGAGAGAGAGAGAGAGAGAGAGCAGAGAGAGAGCATATAGATAACACACAAACACACAAAGAGAGAGTAAGAGAGAGCAGAGAGAGAGAGAGAGAGAGAGAGAGAGAGAGAGAGAGAGAGAGAGAGAGAGAGAGAGAGAGCAGAGAGAGAGCATATAGATAACACACAAACACACAAAGAGAGAGAGAGTAAGAGAGATAACACACACACAGAGAGAGAGAGAGAGAGAGAGAGGGAGAGAGAGAGAAGAGAGAGGGAGAGGGAGAGAGAGCGCACAGAGAGAGAGAGAGAGAGAGCAGAAACAGAGCAGAAACAGAGCAGAGAGAGAAGAGAGGAGGCAAAGAGAAAGATATCTCAGAAAGACCAGAGAAAGAGAGAGAAAGACCAGTGAGAGAGAAGAGAGAGGCCATCATTTCCCAAATTCATTCCGGTTCCGTGTCAGCCGCCGTTGAAAGCCCAACATTAAACTTTAAACTTGTGTGAAGAACTTGTCGGCGTCGCACAAAGCCCTGGAGGAGATTACTTTTATTTGCCTCGGTAAAATGTAAAGGTGAAACCGGTTGCATCGCATTACTCGCCCTTTGTCCAACTTTCAGCCGCCAGCGGGGTCCAAGCCACAGCCGCATTCACCGCATCATTCACCGACCATTGTGCCGGCGTTTATCCCCGGTGCGCGCTCTCCGGCCTTATCGCTCGCGCCCGTTTGAGGTTATTTACCCCGAGTTTTTTTGAGCTTCCTCCATGGCAGCTCCTTTTAGTACCTTTTACAAAGAGCGGTTCTGCACGGACACGGCGTAAAGTAGCGGTGAATGGGCGGCGGGTCGGCCTGGGATATGGAGGAGGTGGCAGATAAGAACCAGCTTGTAAAACATAATTATATTTCTGTCGCCGCTCAAAGGAACACATTTAACCTGAGATTCATGCATGGCCAGAAGACGCCCGGGGAGGGGGGGGTTACGGGGGGGTTGGGGGGTGTAGCGTGGAGGTAGCAAAGCTCGGAGCAAAGAGTAGAGTTAAGGTCAATGTGTCTTCGGGGATAATCGGTGTCCTATACAGAATAAGAGCAAAGAGATGAACTTTTCCGACTCCCATGTGAACGCAAAAAAACGCAGAAATTTGTTGGCATTTGTTGGTTTGAAAAATGTGTGTATGTGTGTGTGTGTGTGTGTGTGTGTGTGTGTGTGTTTTAAATTCTGGGTCTAAACCAGCGTGAAGATGTTCCAGTGATGACAGCATGAAGGGAAAGAGCTGGTTTTTAAAGCTACACATGGTTTTATTCTGGTGCAGGGAGAAGCCACTTGTTTTAGAGATGGTCGAGGAAAGAAACGGACAAAACTGGATCACTGTACAGGGTATGATTTTACACTGGAGAGAGAGACCAGAGAGAGACCAGAGAGAGAGACTCAAGAGAGACCAGAAAGAGACCAGAGAGAGACCAGAGAGGGACCAGAGAGAGACCAGAGCGAGACCAAAGAGAGAGACTCAAGAGAGACCAGAAAGAGACCAGAGAGAGATTCAAGAGAGAGAGACCAGAGCGAAAACGGAAAGAGAGAGACCGGAGAGACCAGAGAAATATACTGTAAGTCTGAGACCAGATATAGACCAGAGAGAGACTCAAGAACGACCAGAGAGAGACCAAAGAGAAACCGGAAAGAGAGAGACCAGAGAGAGAGAGAGAGAGACCAGAAAGAGAGACTCAAGAGAGACCAGAAAGAGACCAGAGAGAGATTCAAGAGAGGGACCAGAGAGTAAACGGAAAGAGAGAGACCAGAGACCAGAGAAATATAAGTCAGAGACCAGATATAGACCAGAGAGATACCAAAGAGAGACCAGAGAGAGACTCAATAGGTCTGAATGTAATGAGTGAGTGACTGGATGGTGTTCGGTGTGACCCAGGAAGATTAGCAACAACTTTGGTGGAAGCTAATGGGGATCCCCGATAAACAATAAACCAAAGAAGACATTTTGTGTTTTAGATCAGCGACCATAAATGCTATTCTAACGTCCTTCACTCCTTTCTTCAAATGAAAGGAAAAGTTTTGCTAAATTTGCGTGTTGCGAACAGCGGGGGTAATACTTTTGTGAAAAGTTCATTTGAGGTCTTTGTTGTCCTCAGGAAATGTTCCATCTCCAGTCAAAGATCACTGGGGTGGAGTCGTTGGGGTCCAGGGGGATTGGAGCCAATGTCACGTCTGGGCTGTCACCTTCAGACGCGCCCTTCTGTCTCGGTCCAACTTCTCAAACTTCTTCAACTCAGAACGATGGACTTAGCCACATGTAGAGTACATACTTATAACAATAATTATAATAATGATAATGATAATAACGATAATGTCCTAACCCTAATTTGATTAGTTTTGAAGCAATTTTTCTCCTTGTTTTTTTTTTGAGTAATACTTTTCCCTCCAACATTTTGATTTACACAGATAAACCCACATATAAATACTTTTTTAAATGTGTGAATAGTAGGGTTTGGGCAGGGGTGCCCAAACCTTTTACTAAGCGGGCCACTTTAATTCATCAGACTTGACCTCGGGCCAACAACCTGGATTTAAAAAATTGGATTGGATTTGGATTAACTGGATTCTGGAATTTAAAATGGGATGTGATATGTCCTTATGGATCCACACCACAGCTGCCCTTTTAATTGGAATGTTGTGACACAATCATAAAACATCTGTCAGTAAATAACAATAGAGTCAACGACTGGGTTCCAGAGGGTCTGAGCTTTACAACAAGGTCATGCATGACTGTAGTGGTGGAGCTGAAGTTGGTTAGATGACTCTGTCAAAGTGCCCCAATAACAACTTTGTGTTAGCAGCAGAGGGCCACATAAAATGGCACAAAGGGCTGCAATTCGCCCTCGGGCCTGAGTTTGGACATGCCTGGGTTAGGGGTTTTTTAGCAGTGAGGGTTTGGGTCTGCACCGTGCGGAGCCTCTGGCTTCATCAAGGCGGCTCTGGAGCTGATGCCACCCCACTGCGCGCCACGATAGGTGCTCTTTCAGACGGCGACCAGAGCAGCGCGCGTGTTTGGGTGTGACTTTCTGCAGGTCGCATTATCTCAGCCCACAGTCCTGCCCCCCGACCCCTCTGCTCCCTGGGCCCCCCAGCCCCGTTCCCTGCCCCCGATGGCTCCTGCTGGCACCGTCTCCAGCTCTCTGCCCAGCGCGCCACATGTGGGCCGATAACTTTACCTTCGATAACTTTTCCTTCGATAACTTTTCCCGACCTAGTTAGCGCTGAATGAACTCGGACAAGGCGCATTCATTATTAAAGTGGCGCGCGCTGGGGGCCAGTCGGGGGTCCGAGGGAAGGGCCCGGTCGGGGGCCGCACATAGAGAGGCGCGTGGCTGAATCAAAAGCTGCCATTGCTCATTTGCATTTGGGATAGTGTTAGTTCAGCAAAGTTAGTGGATGTGAACTGAACTGGGACGGCCCACTGTTGGATTAAAAGAAACTAATGTTAGAAATCAGCAACAAACGAAAAGTAATTTGTGTTTAGGAAGAGCTTAAAACTGGAGACTAGTACTCTACTCTACTCTACTCTACTCTACTCTACTCTACTCTACTCTACTGTACTCTACTGTACTCTACTCTACTCTACTCTACTGTACTCTACTCTACTCTACTCTACCCAACACTCCTCTACTCTACTCTACTCTACTCTACTCTACTCTACTCTACTCTACTCTGCAAACAACAGTAGTGATGTGAAAACCCGACCTTCTCTCCTCCATTCTTCACATCTTAAGTTAAAGAAAAGGTGAAATTCTCAACCGAACGGCAACATTTCTCTTCACTCCAGCACCCAAACAACAGCGGCTCCAGACCTCAAAGTGAAGACGCGTGCAGAGGGAGCACGGCGTGAGGGCAAGGGTGTGAGACGGCAGCGTAAACACAGAGAGCGCGGCGCGTGCAAAAGAGTCTTCACTCCGAGCCTAGTGCGAGTCGAGGCCCGCGGCGACGAGTTCGCAACAAAAGCCGGCTATTGTCAGAGGCGCGTAAAGATGGCACCGCATGAGGTTCCACCGGCGCACATCAAGGCGGCGCGCCGAGGGAGTCAGAGCGGGTCCCTCTCGCTCCCCTGTGACCCCCCCTCACTCCCTCGTGACCCCCCCTTCGCCCCCCCCTCCGTAAACACATTTGGATTCAGAGGTTTGTTTTGTAAAGATGCCCCTGGTTTGGGCGCCGTTTGGTGTGCGGTGCGGTGTGAAGGGACGCTGCGGAGAACAGTTCGGTTTCTAAGGTAACGCTATATTTAATCATTTACACTAAAAGGTGAGTTTAAAAGCCCTGTTTGAACCTACTCTACTCTACTCTACTCTACTCTATTTTACTCTACTCTACTCTACTCTACTCCACTCTACGTTCTTCTACTCTACGTTCCTCTACTCTACTTTACTTTACTCTATGTTCCTCTACTCTACTCTACTCTACCCTCCTCTATACTCTACTCTAACTGACAGTGATAAACCAGTTTGCTGCTCGAAGCCATGGTGACCAAGGACATTTCCCAGGTACTGGTTTGTTGAGGGTATATGATACGAGTAGAGCAGAGGAACGTAGAGTAAAGTAGAGTGGAGTAGAGTGGAGTTCCTCTAGAGTAGAGTACTCTACTCTACACTCCTCTACTCTACATCCTCTACTGTACTCTACTCTACTCTACTCTACATCCTCTACTGTACTCTACTTTACTCTACTCTACTCTACACACCTCTACTCTACTCTACTCTACATCCTCTACTGTACTCTACTGTACTCTACTCTACTTTACTCTTCTCTTCTCTACGTTCCTCTACTTTACTTCACTCCTCTCTACTCTGCTCTACTCTAGAGGAACTCCACTCTACTTTACTCTACTCTACTCCACGTTCCTCTACTCTACTCTAGTAGAGTATAGTAGAGTATAGAGTAGAGTAGAGTAGAGTATAGAGTAGAGTAGAGTAGAGTAGAGTAGAGTAGAGTAGAGTAGAGTAGAGTATAGAGTAGAGTAGAGTAGAGTAGAGTAGAGTAGAGTAGAGTAGAGTAGAGTAGAGTAGAGTAGAGTAGAGTAGAGTAGAGTAGAGTAGAGTAGAGTAGAGCAGAGTAGAGCAGAGTAGAGTAGAGTAGAGCTGGTACAAGAGGGGCCACCCACACTAACCCAATAAGGTCTCAGCCAGCAATTTTTTTCTAATGAGACAAAGACAGAAAGTCGTGGCCTCACTACTTCTCAAAATGTTCCGTTTTGGCTCGAGAACAACAAAACACACAGTTTGTGAAAAAGTTAGGTCACTGCAGCTTTAAAACGACAGCCGTAACCCTTGGCAACCGCAGACCCATCCGCACCCAGAACTCACCCGATAAAGCCCCCGCGAACGCTCTCAGCGCCTCCAATCGCTCACGCAAATGACACGGAGCGTAATAAATGCCCCAGATTGTGTTTTGACTTCCTCCAAAAGACTCCGCTTGGTGCATCTGGCCGAATGCATCACTCCGGGTATCGAGTCACTTCCACAACCATTTTCTTGACACCTGCTAAATGAACGCTGTGAAAAATAACATGATTTTTTTTTTTTGTCCTAATAGCTGCGATCTCTCCACCACGACGAGAGCTCTACAACCAGCCCAGCGCGCATTCGGCGTGGCAAAAAAAACACGCACGCGCTTTGTGTCATAGACTCCGAAGCAATTAATGGAATGGTGATTTAGCGCGGGAACTAGCCGAGCCCGCCCCACCACTATTTATGTCTCCGTGCACTTTTGCTAAAGACGGGTCCTTTTCACTTGGCGGGACTCCTGTTAATGGCCGTCGACTGCCAAATGTTTCTTCTGAAGCCGTAAACATCATTTTTCTACAGATTTTTTTCCCCTAAACATGCACAAACAAAAATAACCGTGGAAAACTTGATGCCGGCGCCAATCCAATTATGAGGACTTTGAGAACTTTGGGGGAGTGGGCTCCATGTGCGGCGGAGGCAGGAGGGTGGACTTTGAGCATAATGAGCCCGAAAAGAGTGCGGGTTTGTGGGTAATAGTCTCAGATTTTTGGTCCCTGTTTTCTGTTGCGGCGATGATCCGACAAAACAGGGTGAGAAATGAGCAATAATCACGTTTCAGAAGTTTGATAAGCTGCATTTAAGTTTTTAAAAGAATAAGCAGTTGTTATTAGGGCTGGTAATAACTGGATACAAGTTACGAGGATGACAAGTCGGTCTCAAGAAAGGTCTGGGAGGTCTCTCTCTGGTCTTTCTCTTTAATCACTCTGGTCTTTTTATGGTCTCTCTCGCTCTGGTCTCTCTTGCTCTGGTCTATCTCGTTGGTCTCTTTCTGTTAGTCTGTCTTTCTGGTCTCTCTCTGGTCTCTCCCTTTGGTCTCTCTCTGTTAGGCTCTCTTTCTGGTCTCTCGCTCTAGTCCCTCTCTGGTCTCTCTTTAGTCTTTTGGATCTCTCTCTGTTAGTCTGTCTTTCTGGTCTCTCTCTGGTCTCTCTCTCTGGGGTCTCTATCTGTTAGTCTGTCTTTCTGGTCTCTCTCTAGTCTCTCTCTTTGGTCTCTCTCCGTTAGTCTCTCATTCTGGTCTGTCTAGTCCCTCTCTGGTCTCTCTTTAGTCTCTGATCTCTCTCCGTCAGTCTGTCTTTCTGGTCTCTCTCTGGTCTCTCTCTTTGGTCTCTATCTGTTAGTCTGTCTTTCTGGTCTCTCTCTGGTCTCTCTCTTTAGTCTCTCTGTTGGTCTCTCTTTCTGGTCTCTCCCTCTGGTCCCTCTCTGGTCTCTCTTTTAGTCTCTCTGATCTCTCTGTTATTTTCTCCTTCCTTAAAACTAGATTTGCAAATGGGACAAAGCAAAATTATCTCATCTCTATCGTCTCCTTCTTTGGAATAAGAAAAGCAATTGACAGTTCTTGAAATGAGACTAAAAGGCTTTGTCCCATCGGCAAATCTCGTCGTTTGAAATTGCGTTTATAGTGACCAGAGTGAGATAATGGGAGAATACCATGAAGGGAAGGACACAAACCACACAACTAAACTGTATTAAAACATGGTTAAGGCTTCACGTTTGTACTCGGCAATAACGAATGAAGTTTCCGGCAGACCAAAGTCTTCCTGAAACATTTGGATGCAGAGAAGCTGGAGCTCTATCTTCAAAGCTGAGTGATAAGGAGAGATGCTTTGTACTGGAACGGTTTGATCGCTGCCGTTTGATTCCGGCTCCGAAAAGTGATTTCAAAAACATGCAGAGGAGCAGTTTGGACTTTGTGATGAGACGACGTTACATTAGAGACTTCAGAGCTGGACTACAATAACAACTTTGACTTTACTTGCACCTGCAGGGAGAAATGGGTGGGTCCCAGGACAAAAAGGCCTGTTTTATGAGATTAGACATTATTTCACAATTATTCTCATTTATCTCTGGTCTCTCTCTGGTCTCGCTCTGGTCTCTCTATTGTCCCTCTCTAGTCCCTATCTGGTCCCTCTCTGGTTCCTCTCTTTAGTCTCTCTCTGGTCTCTCTCTTGTCTCTCTCTGGTCCCTCTCTGGTCTCTCTTTAGTCTCTCTCTGGTCTCTCTTTAATCTCTCTGTGGTCTCTTTCTGGTCTCTCTCTGGTCCCTCTCTGGTCTCTGTCTGGTCCCTCTCTGGTCTCTATCTGGTCCCTCTCTGGTCTCTCTTTGGTCTCTCTCTGGTCTCTCTTTAATCTCTCTGTGGTCTCTCTCTGGTCCCTCACTGGTCTCTCTCTGGTCTCTCTCTGGTCTCTCTCTGGTCTCTCTCTGGTCTCTCTCTGGTCTCTCTTTGGTCTCTCTCTGGTCTCTCTCTGGTCCCTCTCTGGTCTCTGTCTGGTCCCTCTCTGGTCTCTGTCTGGTCGCTCTCTGGTCTCTCTTTGGTCTCTACCTAGTCTCTCTCTGGTCTCTCTCTAGTCTCTCTCTGGTCTCTGTCTGATCCCTCTCTGGCCCCTCCCTGGTCTCTCTCTGGTCTCTGTCTGATCCCTCTCTGGCCCCTCCCTGGTCTCTCTCTGGTCTCTCTCTCTCTGTCACCTGGATCCTCTATAACGTAGCATTGTCATCTCTGAATAAATCAGTTTTAGTTTAAAGCAGTGTTTGAAACATCTAGTTTGATTTACACACGCTGGCTTAAAAAAAACATACCAATCACGATGTTTGTCAGAGAAATTCTCATCTTCCCTTTTATGGCGAATGGAGAAGTTTTGTTTTTTGTGTCTTTCTTGTGTTTCGTTTTGTCATTAAACTTCTTCTACAATAAAACCGTGATCAAAGTTTGTAAAAAGAGAAAGCTGTTTGATATTCCCCTCAGACTGGTGCAGAAACTGGAGTGGATGCTGGGCGCAGGTGGAGCTTCTGGTAGGGGACACAGGAGCCAGTGTTGGTCCCAGTGGGGGGCCTCATGGGGGGGCCGCTCCCCTCAGGGCTGGGGCTTGATGTTGGACTGAAGCTGAAAGCTGCTGTTTGACTGAGGCCGCCGTGTGCTGGGACAGTGTGGAGATGACAGGGAGGGGGCCGGCTCACCGTGCGGAGGTTAAGGACGCCATTAGGACTGACCTGTCAGACAGAAGGGGGTAAGCGGCCCCGGGCCACAAGACCGAATCACAGCCCCCCCGATTGAAGCCCACCACGGAGTCAAGCTCTGCCAGTCACATGAAAGCAGGCGTGAAGAGGTGGGGGGCACGTGGAAACCAACACCCGGCTTTTACCGCACTGAGAACCGTTCGCTTTTGTGTTTTGTATCGTCCACTCTGCAAAAGCGGTCTCTGTAGCTGAAAACAACTTTGACAATTCTTGTTTTTTGACAATTCTTGTTTTTTCGAAGTAATGTATTTGTGTATCGGCCTAAATCACAACTTCAGACATCTTCAAGGACTTTACAGAGTTGCGGCTTTAACAATAATTTTTCAGTCAATCAAACAGTTTGAACGAAGGAAATGTAATAATAACAAATACATGTGGACGATATGGAGGACCACTGTCTAGAAATGTTAAAAAAGTTAGGGTTAGGGTTAGGGTTATCACTGTCCTTAGACCCTCCTGCATCGGCAAAGAACCACTCTGAAACCCTGAGGAGAAAAAAGTGAGAAACCTCAGGAAGGCCCATTTTCAGAAAGGGGTCTACTCCCTTGGATGGACATGCTGTAGATCAAGGACTGAGGCTCAAGATCCAGGTCTGAGGCTGTAGATCCAGATCTGAGGCTGTAGATCCAGGGCTGAGGCTGTATAGGCCCAGGACTGAGGCTGTGGATCCAGGACTGAGGCTGAAGATCCAATCTGAGGCTGTAGATCCAGGTCTGAAACGGTAGATCCAGGACTGAGGCTGTAGATCTAGGACTGAGGCTGTAGATCCAGGTCTGAGGCTGTAGATTAAGGACTAAGGCTGTAGACCCAGGATTGAGGCTGTAGACCCAGGACTGAGGCTGTAGACCCAGGACTAAGGCTGTATAGACCCAGGACTGAGGCTGTAGACCCAGGATTGAGGCTGTAGACCCAGGACTAAGGCTGTATAGACCCAGGACTGAGGCTGTAGATCTGGGACTGACAAACTAATGCCACAAAAACAAAATTTCTTTTCCTTGTTTTCTACTTCTGCTTTCATCAAATTGACGTTTTTCCCAGTCAGAAATATAAGGTTCAGAAAGCTACTACACATTTAAATCTGTAATAACAATGGCTCCACTTTCTCATTCTGAATCCTGTAGAATCTGAGGTTGTCGAGATGGTGTCAGAGTGTGCGTACGTGTGTGTGTGTGTAAGTGTGTGTGTGTGACGCTGAAGAGATGTGACAACGTAATATGTTTTCCCTCGCAGACGTGAAGACTCGCCCTCTCCGCATTTATTAATATAAACGAGCGAGAATTCAGGCAAAAATTAATTTATTCATCAAATTAAACCAAACGATTTGAGTTTTTAATCATCGTCTGTCTGTGCCTCGGAGCCTGGAGGTCGTTCCCGCCGCTGTCTCCCAGATTCATGTCAGGATCCGGGGCCAGGCCAAAGTCTCAGCCACACGCCCCGAGCCAATCAGACCTATTCCCTTCTTTTTTGAGATCAAATTCCAAATCTTGACGAATAATGAAGGTTACAGAAGCCCGCGTCGGCTCCTGTGGCCCCGAGTTTGTGACAAGGGCCTTGAAAGAGCGCGGCTTGTTTATCAATTTACTTTTAACATCACACAGTAGTCACACCAGCTTTGTTTTATCCGCCTTCAAAGCCCTTCCATCAGCCTCCTTCTCTCTCAAAGCCACGGTTTTTTCTTTCTTTTCTTTTTTTCGGCGAAACATATGCAGAAACCTCGGCCCTTGAAGACTCCGTGCGCGCTCTCTCCGTGATTGTGCGCCTGTGCCTTTGTGAGGGGTGCTCCCCGAAGGCACGGCACAACAAGGCCCTCTCTCCGACTACAGCAAGGTACCGGCTCCACTCTGCTCCCTCCCTCCCTACCTCCCTCCCTCCCTCCTCCCGATCTCTTCTCTCGCTCTCTTTTCTTTGGACCTTGCTTGATTTTCAGCGAGCGTCTCTTGTCTTGACAGGGACAGGCTGGGTGCGTTTGATGCGCGCTGGACGGTCAGGGATAATAAAGCGTCAGGGGACAGTTGTCATGCTGTCAGCTGGAGAGGGCTACACTTATGAGCTACCTTTTCTATATGTACATACACGGAGCCGCGTATACATGTAGAGGCCGTGATTCTCCAACTCAGAGCAGAGCAATGAGCGGTGCACCTACAAGAAACACAATGATGCCAAATAAACACACAAATCAAATTTAATATATGGTTCAAATATTTCAGCTACGATATATTGTAAAAATTGGCGGCACGGTGGCTGAGAGGATAGCACTCTCGCCTCTCAGCAAGAAGGTCCTGGGTTCAAATCCCGGTCGGACCAGGGCCTTTCTGAGTGGAGTTTGCATGTTCTCCCCGTGTCTGCGTAGTTTTCCTCCTGGTACTCCGGTTTCCCGTCCCACTAAAAATATGCACAATAGTTCTGGCATGCGCCTCCTGTACTGGCCCTGCTCCCATCTCTGTGTGGAGTGAGAGACTAATGCCCAAAAATAACAATTGTAAACCGCTTTGGACTCTGGTCTGTGAAAGGCGGTATATAAATAAAGATTACTTACTTACTTAAAATATTTCAGCTACAATATATAGTATATATTTCACCTGTCTGTCCCCTTAAGTTGTAAGTAATTTATATTTATAAAGGATTTCGTTATTTTTGTGTTTTGTTTATAAACTTTTTGGCACTTCCTGCATGTCTTGTGGTTTACGCTTCTGCCTCACTGCAAGAAAACTCCATCTCCAGACCTTTCTGTGTGGAGTTTGCATGTTCCTAACCGTGCCAGTGTAGGTTTCCTCCAGGTGCTCCAGTTTCCCCCTACCGCTAAAAACATGTACAATAGGTCTGGAATGCTGACCTCACTCAACTACTATTGTCACTGCTGGGGAAACTACAAAAAGTTCATTTAAAGAAGCTATATGTTTATTAACTTTTAGCCGCTGTGTCAGTCCTGTAACAGTATGATGTCGTTGTACCACTATGACATCACTATGACATCACGATGACATCACTATGACATCACACTCAAGAGTCATTTTCTCAATTTTAAAACACAAGTGTTGCAATTCGTTCCGGCAGTTTTCTACAATCACATGCACGCACGCAGCTGGTTTTCTTTTCAAATTAGTAAACAAAACAGATCAAATTCTACCTCTCCCTCTGGTGGTAGCATCAGGGTAGTGCAGGCTGATAGATAGTAATTTTTGGCCTGCATTTGAAGATATAATTTCACTTTTTAAAACGTAAAATTATAACATTCTCTCACTATTTTTCTTACTGGCCAAAAATGACATGTCCGTTTTTCAAAAAATATCTGCCCGATGAATCGTCAATCTCTCTCTCTGTCTCTCTCTCCCTCTCTCTCTCTCTCGCTCCCTATCTCTCTCTTTCTCTCTCTCCCTCTCTCTCTTATTCTCTCTCTCTCTCTCTCTTTCTTCTCTCTCTCTTTCTTTCTCTCTCTTTCACTCTCTCTCTCTCTTCTCTCTCTTTCTCTCTCACTCTATTTCTCTCTCTCTTTCACTCTCTTTCACTCTCTTTATCTCTCTCTTACTCTCTCTCTTTTTTCTCTCTCTTTCGATCTCTCTCTATCTTACTCTCTTTCTTTCTCTCTCTCTCTCTCAGTAACGAGAATCTGCTCCATCTCTTTCTGCTCAGATCACTCCTTCAAGCTTCACCTCGCTTAAAGATGGACGGGTGGGGGTGTTGGGGGGGGGGGGGACACAAATTGACTCTCTCTCTCTCCCTCTGTTCTTTCCCCCCACTTTGCCGCTGCCGTCTCTGCGCCACCTGTAGCCCGCGGTCATGAGGAGAGGGCCTGTGTTATGCTCTTTAATGGGGTCTTTGTCGCTGACCCCTCCCCATGTCACTGATGATGAGTCAGAGGACCCCCCGCTGTGGCCCCTCCCACCTCCACACGCACACATCACCTCCAGCACTTTCCGTTCGTGGCAGAGGGTTGTTCTGGTCCCTGCAAGACGATTGACCGAAGGAAGGAAGCACGCATCCACTCACAGGACGAGCCACGGCAGATTTAGCAGTTGTCTCCGTATGGTTCTCATCTGTCATTGTATTTGATTGGACGAAACGGCTCAGGAGCTGCTTAACTCTAGAACTCCCAAAGCAGTCCCAAATTTGACGACTTTTAGTTTTGGAAATGTATATACTCAGCTCTCGTGGTGCTGGAAAGTCTCGCACAGTTTTTCCAATGTGGTTTTACTGTAAATGGCAAATAAATCTTGAATCATGTAGATTTTGGATCTCCATAACTTTTTTGCTTTTTCTGTTTCTTTTTGTAGATTATTTTTATGTTTTATTTTGAATGTAGAGAAGTAGAGAAGAGTAACCATAGCAACACACTGTAAACTTGCTGCCAGTTAGCATTAGCCTTTCAACAAACTGTTTTTTTGTGTATTTCAAACTGTATTGACCTGTTTTAGCACTTATTAAAAGTAAACAAAGGTATATTTTAATAAATCTCACTTAAAAAAAAAAAAAAAACATGAACCAATTTAACCTGAGTCTGAAATGACTAATTGTCACGGTGGCTGAGTGGATAGCACTCTCTCTTTTCAGCAAGAAGGTCCTGGGTTCAATTCCCGGTCGGGACATCCTTCGAGGCCTTTCTGAGTGGAGTTTGCATGTTCTCCCTGTGTCTCTGTGTCGCTTTGTGACTCTGGTCTGTGAAAGGCGGTATATAAATAAAGCTTACTTACTTACTACTTACTTACTGTAGGTTTCCTGTCTGTCATGCGCCTCCTGTACTGGCCCTGCTCCCATCTCTGAGTAGAGTGAGCGACAAATGCCCACGATTGAAAACCGCTCTGTGAAAGGCGCTTGTATAAATATAGATTCCTTACTTGGTTCTAACTTAATAATAATTATTTGAATGGGAGCAGTCAAATTGACGCCACTGGGAACTCTATAGTTTCAAGCGAGTACTTTTAAATGACCAACCTTTTTCCATTGATATTCCAGAATGTCTTTTTTCAGGGGACTCCAGGGAGACCGGAGGTAGACTACATGTTAATAGGAGAAACCGGAGCACCTGTAGGAAACCAACACAGACAGAGAACATGCGAACTCCATTCAGAAAGGTTGTGATGTGACCAGGATTTGAACTGAAAAGTGCGACCAAGGAAGAACAGAGGGAGAGGACTTGGTTTGGGATTATGGGTTGGAGAATTGGCGAAATTGCATATTTGACAACTACAATATGGTTAAAAGTTGTCAGTTTCCCCTTTTGAATTGGGTTGAGGTCTTATCTGCTGTATTAGTGACACCCCCATAGATTCGCTGAGCCCCTGGTCCTGACCCCGACCATCCTCCATCGTCTGACTGTTGGAATGAAGACACGTTAGACGGGCTATCGTGCGTTTGAAGAAAGTTTGACGTGGCATTGGAACAGACCGCGCTTCACAGTTGCATATTCAATTGTCACAGCTTCAAGTCAAGGTGACAGGCTGCCCCCCCCCCCCCCCCCCACCACCACCACCACCACCACCCTCAATGCGAGCCCTGTGCTGTCAGATTACACTCCCCCGTTTCTGAAGACTTCGCTGAAAACAAGGCCGGGTGCAGGAGTGGGCAACAATGGCTGGAGGATTGTCCTGGGTGCGACTGCATAAGGACCAAGCCCCAAGGATCCAAGATGGCGTCCTATTCAGATCAACGGTCCACCCGGTTTTGGGCAGTGGACGAGCTCCCATGATGCTTTGTGCCAAATATGTGTGTGGTTATCATGCACGTGCACAGAGGGGCTCGGCTGTGCTTTGACCAATCAGAGGGCAGAGTTCTGACCAATAAGAGCGGAGCCAGAGCGGGAGCCAAACGAGCAGAGTTTATGGCATTTAAAGATAACCAAAGGATTTAAGAAGAAAAAAAGTTCAGGGACAGTAAAATCCCCACAAAATTCTACCTTTATGAAAGCTGTAGGTTCTCTGTAGGTTCTCTGTCAGGTTCTCTGTCAGCTGAGGTCTAGCTGTTTTAGTTTACATTGAGTTCTATGTGGAAAATGTCTGGGTCCTTCAGCTCCAAGGTACAATACCCTGTCCTGATATTATAATAGATCCATACTAAGGAGATTGTGTGCGACTGCATGAGGAGGGTTCTGGACACGAGGGCTGCCGTCGTCGCTCTGGGTTCAGTTCGTAAAAGTAGTTTGTTTGGTGTTGAAAAATGAAAGACAGTAGTTTTGTTAAAGAAACAGAGCATGAGACACAGAGAGAACATGCAAATTCAGAACTTGGAACCAACTTTCTATGATATCTATACCATACACCAGCCATTCCCAAACTCAGTAACACCGAGGCCCCCTTAAAAATCTGACGGGTCTGCGTGGCCCCCCAAAATAATAACCAAGAAGACAACATTAAGAATAGGCTCTTCTGGTTATTTTATTTTGGGGAAATAGCCTTTGCTACAAACATTGTAACACAAAAATGATTACAGTGGATTATTCAAGTCAAATAATGAACACAAATATTTTAATATTACAAACAAAACATTATAAATTTAACATTAAATAATTATATTTTTTTTTTTATGACCTCCCGCGGCCCCCCTGCAGTACCCTCGCGGCCCACCAGGGGGCCGCGGACCCCACTTTGGGAGACACTGCCATACACCAATGAGTTTATTTTATACAACCAACACTGCTGTAAAGAAAGTCATTGTGTAGTTTTGAAATCCAGATCCCATCAGACCTCTGAAGCTAAGCAGGGCAAGGCCTAGTGAGAACTGTGACGGGAGACCTCTGCGAACATTACCACAGTGGGACGACTGCGGCTGTTGCTGTGTCCTTAGGCAAGACACTTCCAAAGTATGTTTTATATGTTTTTTTTAACCTGGCGCACTTGGAGGAAACCCACACAGAGGCAGGGAGAACATGCAAACTCCAAACAGAAAGGCCTGCCCATCTTTGAATCAGCTTTTTCAGACAGAAAAGTGAAAAGGAGAGAACCACCCACACTCAGCCAACCAGCTCTCTCTTGGTGTGGTCTGATTGGTTAAAGACACGTTACTATGGCAACACTCTTCAGGAAAATGGGAAAATGCATGATTTATGTACTAAAAGCTTAGATACCCAAAGGTTAAGCTTCGGCACTTCCTTGTTAAAACGTGTTAATTCTAGCAGTTGGATTTTCTTATGAATGACAATCGAAATTCAGACTCGCAATTCTCAAATCTGAGTTGAAACAAAGTACCCCCCCCCTCTCACCCCCTCACTCACCCCCCCTAAACCCCTGTGCTGACTCATACCCTCTTCTTTTTGCGCAACGGGGACCGGCTGATTCAGATTCCCTTCGATGACCCGGCCCCTCAGTGTGTGTGTGTGTGTGTGTGTGTGTGTGTGTGTGTGTGTGTGCGTGTGTGTGCGTGTGTGCGCGAGTGTGTGTGTGTCTGATGCTGAGTCAACACCCAGTTTCCAATTAAGTGAAGGAGGCGCAGACGATACAGGCCACTAGTCCCTCACCCCTTCAACCCCCCCCCCCCCCCCCCTCCCCCCCAACTCACCCTCCGTAACAACAACACAGGCCTCTTCCCGACATCACACTGTATCCACCGTCGGCGTAAAAGTCTCAACGACTGATTTTGTAAAATTGTTGTGCTGGTCTCGCTCTCTCTGCTCTCTCTCTCTGCTCTCTCTCTCTGCTCTCTCTCTCTGCTATCTCTCTTGGGTCTCTCTCTGGTCTCTCTCTCTGGTCTCTCTGGGCTCTCTCTGCTCTCTCTCTCTCTAGTCTCTCTCTCTAGTCTCTTTTTCTCTAGTCTCTCTTTTCTCTCTCGCTCTAGTCTGTCTCTAGTCTCTCTCTCTCTAGTCTCTCTCTTGTCTCTAGTCTCGGTTTCTGGTCTCTTTGGTCTCTCTCTAGTCTCTCTCTCTCTCTCTAGTCCCTCCCGTGTTATATTGAGGGATCCCTGTACATCTTTTTTCAAACAGTCCTTCAAACTGAATCAATCTGAAACATGTTTGATCGTCACAAACCTTCACTCTGGATTTATTTGACAAAAAGAGAGTTTGTTGCCACACCTCTTGATCTTCACATCAGCGTCGCAGCTCTCTTTGTCCTGAGAACAAACAGGACGTGTGACAAAAGGCCTGGATTCAAATATCGGAGCAGATAATCGAGGTATTGGCTCTCGGCCTTGGAGTTTAATACGTAAATATTTGAGGCAGGAAGGACGTCCACTCATGGGATTTCCCTGAGAGTGTAAACTTGGGTTTTCAGGTTAAAATGTTCAATTGTTGAGTATCTAAATTGTTCAACAAATCTGTTCCAATCATTCTTAACCTGAACAATAAGCAACAACGAGATTTAGACTTCTCTGAAAGGTCCATTGGGTTTTCAAATGACACATCCAAACGACTGTTAGGGCCTGCGATGGCCACCGGGGGCTCCACTGAGCGCTCCATTGGCTGGTGTGTGTTTTGTTGGAGGGTGTTGTAGGGTTTTTATTCTTATCGTACTGTATTGCAGCATGTGTCTGAATGGATGGAGGGGATTGGATTAAAATGCGCTTTTTGCTTCGACTGATCCCTTCTCAAACTATGCACAGGTTTTCTTGTTTTCTCTTATTGTATTTTTCTATGAATAATTGTATGATGATAAAAAAATGAAAAAGTCCTGACAAGACCTAGGAAGTCCTCTCAAATTAGTCCTGGTCTCAGGTCTCTGTCCTTAAGTCCTCCCACATTAGTCCTGGTCTCAAGTCTCTGCTTCCTGTGGTTCAGAGAATAGACTTTAAAGCAGCTCACCGTTTTATTTTCCATACAATGCTATACTATTGTTGCATCCTTACATCTGCCAATCATATTGTTTTAACCATGCCATTCTTGTTATGTGTCTTCAGAGTGTGGGTCAGATGCAGCTTTTAGAGATTCCTCTGTCTACAACATCCATAATCCATTCATCCATTATTGAAAAAAGTTTCCAAATTCTAACTAACTACAAAATAATGTGGGGTTTACTGCTACATGTAAGTCAATGGGGGCCAGAGCGAGTTGGAGCAAATCTTCCTCCATGAGCACTTCCCTATTGGATTTCATTGAGCTAGCGGGTTAGCATTGTCCATGTTCTCAACCCCACACCTCTTTGTACCTGGCCTCCGCTCTCATCCTGCTGCTCAGAGTTGGGCCTAATTGGAAAGAGGGGGAGGTCACAGGAAGAAAAAAAGAAGAAGCTAAGAGTAAAATCCTCTAATTCCTGGATTATAATTTAAAATATTCCAAAATGCTAATCAGGGAATTGCAACCAACAAAGGGATAATAAGACGGTCATCCAATTAGTGGTCTTTTGAGTCCTGTTTCGCGGCCGGGGCCAAACCTGGAGATGCTACCACTCAAGCTGCGCGCCGCCTCTTACCGTTATGCTAATCAGCGCCACATCATTTGCTCGCCACGTTCGGTCTGCGTCGGAGTTTTGAAGAAGAACTGAAGACCTAAAGATGGCCGGGTTTTTTGTTTGGTGAAACGGACTGGAGTGGCGGTTCTGTCCTCATGCTCTCGCGCCGTCGACCCCCGAACGTGAAGTGATTGCGCTAATTGAAGTAGCATCCGTGACGTTTGGATGTTATGATAAATAATCTCTCCTCTCTGTTTTAAAGCTGGGGTACCTCACTTTTTTATGTAGCGCCTTTCACAGACCATAGTCACAAAGCGCTTATGTTTTTATTCAGCCATTTGTCTCACTCCACGCAGATGGGAGCAAGGTTGCCACACAGGAAGCACATAAAACTGGAGCACCCGGAGGAAACAGGAACAGACACGAGGGGATCATGCAAACGTCACACAGAAAGGCCTTGAGGTGGAATCGAACCCAGGACCTTCTTGTTGTGAAGCCCAAAATACCAGGGTGAGAGACTGGAGAGAGAGACAAGAGAAAGACCAGAGAGAGACCAGAGAGAGACCAGAGAAAGAGAGAGAAGAGCGAGAGAGACTATAGAGAGACCAGAGAGAGAGAGAGACTATAGAGAGAGACCAGAGAGAGACCAGAAAGAGAGAGACAAGAGCGAGAGAGACTATAGAGAGACCAGAGAGAGAGAGAGAGAGACTATAGAGAGAGACCAGAGAGAGACCAGAGAGACCAGAGAGAGAGAGAGAGACCAGAGAGAGAGAGAGAGAGACAAGAGCGAGAGAGACCAGAGAGAGAGACCAGAGATAGACAGACAAGAGAGAGAGAGACCAGAGAGAGACCAGAGAAAGAGAGACAGAGACCAGAAAGACCAGAGAGAGACCAAGGAAATACATTTGGAAATCCGTTGCAATTAACTTAAAATAATAATACTTTAATGGGACCAGACGGTTCGATTCAAAATGTACAGATAAATATCTAATGTTGTTGTGTTTATTATTTGTAGTATCAACACTTACACTACTCCTATTAACATATGCAGCCGTATAAGTCCACGTGATTGGTGGACGGCTCATCCCCGCGCCGCTGTGTGGTCGGCGCTCAGAGCACCGTGACCCCGCACACACACCGTCCAGCGCAGACTTTTGGAGAAAAGTTGAGTCCGGTCCAAAAAAGCAGTCCCCTGGCTTTGAGGCGCTAAACGTGTTCTTGTCTACACCTCCAGCTGAGCGGCTGGTGGCAGCGGGCCAACGCCCCCGGGCAGGCGCGGCTCCTCGGTGCGCCGCTGCGGGCTGCGGGCGCTCGTATGGATTGTTACAGGAGAGATGTGTGGGCAGCGCCGGGACTCACGGGTCTAAAGTCTGAATGTTATTGTTTCTTTGTGAGTGACCATCGCACAAAACACATGCACAACACTTCATCCACAGGCTGCCCTGAACCACAACCAGCGACGCACACATCCATATCACTGTGTGTGTCTGTGTGTGCGTACGTGTGTGTGTTCATATGTGTGTTATTTTTGTGTGCGTGTGCGTATGGGTGTGTATGTGTGTGTGTATGTGTGCGTTTATGCGTGTGTACGTGTGTGTATGCATGTGTGTGTGAATGTGTGTGTGTGCATGCGTGTGTGTATGTCTGTGTGTGTGTATGTGTGTTATTTGTGTGTGTGTTTATATGTGTGTGTGTTTGTGTTTATATGCACACACAGTATGTGTGTGCATATGAGTGTGATTGTGTGTGTGTGTCTGTGTGTCAGTGAGTGCGTGTGTGTATGTATATGTCTATGTATGTGTCCGTGTGTCTGTGTGTCTGTATATGTCTGTGTATGTGTACGTGTGTCAGTATGTGTCAGTGTGTGTGTGTCTGTATATCTGTGTCTGCATTGTGTGTGTGTGTGTGTGTATCAGTATGTGTCTGTATGTATGTGTATGTCAGTATATGTCTGTGTATGTGTATGTGTGTAAGTATGTGTCAGTGTGTGTGTGTATGTCTGTATATGTGTGTCTGTATTATGTTTGTTTGTGTATATGTGTGTCAGTATGTGTCAGTGTGTGTGTGTCTGTATTATGTCTGTGTGTGTGTGTGTCTGTATATGTCTGTGTTTGTGTACGTGTGTCAGTATGTGTCAGTGTGTGTGTGTATGTCTGTATATGTGTGTCTGTATTATGTCTGTGTGTGTGTGTGTCTGTATATGTCTGTGTTTGTGTACGTGTGTCAGTATGTGTCAGTGTGTGTGTGTATGTCTGTATATGTGTGTCTGTATTATGTCTGTGTGTGTGTGTGTGTGTATGTGTGTCAGTGTGTGTGTGTGTGTCTGTATTATGTTTGTTTCTGTATATGTGTGTCAGTATGTGTCAGTGTGTGTGTGTCTGCATATTTGTATCTGTATTATGTCTCTGTGTGTGTGTGTGTATCAGCATGAGTCTGTATGTGTGTGTGTGTCTGTATATGTCCGTATGTGTGTGTGCATAAGTACTACCTCTCAATCTGCTCTGTGATTGGACGGGATTTGTGTCAGTCACTGCCGAGGCCGGGTCTTGTCAAACTTTGACGGGTCCAAACAGAGGCGCAGAGAAATCTCCTGTCAGCGATTCTTACATAAATATTCCATTGTTGCGCCGCAGCAATCCTAAGCCTCTGGAGGAGTGTGATCCACCGAAGTCCTGCGGCCGTAAGCTGCCGTAGGTCTCGCAGACAGGTACCGCGATAAGGCAGAAGAATGGAGATTAGTTTACAAGAGGGGCCGCGATGCCAGCTGGATTAGCCCTGATGCCCTGGGAGACGCACATTGTCTGACAGTCTTCATACGGTCAGCGCGAGAGAGGCACGCGCTGGGACGGACTTATGCTAAAGCTACTATTTGTGTTTATCCCAACAAAATGTCAGCGGTTGGAGATTGAGTAAAGCGCTGTGCCGTGACTGCGGGGCAAAGTCGTCAAGATAGGCCCCTCGCCCCCGGCCCCCAGGCGCATCCCCGTGTCAAGATCAAACTCTCCCTGACACGGGCCGTATCTAATGCCTCGGGGCCGCTCTAATCACGCTAATCACTTTGAACTGGCGCACAGAAAGGCCTTTTCTTTTCTCGTGCTAAAGTGGCTCGGTCTCCTTTAACGTTTATTTGATTAAGACCGGAGCGAGGACGCCAAGATTCCTGCAGTGGCGCTTGTCTCTCGCACATTCACGATGTAAAACGCGGCGAGCTGGCACCGGCACTGGCAGGCCGCGCCGCGTCAGTCGAGGGTCAAGAGCAGCCAGAGACCCCCGCCACCTCACGCACACACACACACACACACGGACCCCCCCTTCTCCCCCTCAGGGTCCGGGCGAACACTGGTCCTGATCACTCCGTAATGAGGGGGAGTCCTGGGGGAGCGGCCCGGTGACTTCCAAATTCACTGCCCTTGTTAGCGAGCGTTGGCGCGCCGTTCCGTGGCTACAGATGTCCATAATAGAGCGCTAATAGAGATCCATTACCCTCAGGTTGGGGTGAGGAGGGGGAGGTGAAGGGGGGGGCAGAGTGGGGAGGGGGGAGAACACTGAAGATTACCACACTCGTGTCTGACCTCTGCCTGTTCACCGCTCATTATTTCGGTGCGTTTGAGTCCAAAGGTGCGGCTGCTTTGTGCTGTGGATTATCCAATTGGACACTCAGATTATGGCGACAATGTGTGTGTGTGGAGAGGTCAGGGTCTTCTTCAGATTAAACGTGTCCGACCCTCTCGCTTTGAACACGGTTGATTGTGAGTCATTTTCTCACACAGACATGCATGTCGAAAACTAAGGCCCGCGGGCTAAAAGTGGCCCTCTGAGTCCTTTTCTGTGGTCCTCTGCAGCTTACAAGGTCTTTCTGTGTGGAGAATTACTGTTTATTCCATATCCGTGTAGGTTTCCTGCGGGTGCTCCAGTTACCCCTACCACTAAAAGAAGCATCAACATGTCCTGACATAGACCCGAGTGCAGGACGGGTCAAATGCAGAGGACATATTTCCCTACAGAACAATTAAGTGTTGATCTAAGGTGTCTGTTTTCATAGGTTCTGAAGAATATGTTGACATTGGCCCAGGCCTGTCGCAAGGGGGGTGCGAGGCCCTGTGCGAACTTGAAACGCGAGGCCCTGCCCTGACACCTTTTTCCCAGATCTCAGGAAAGTTTTTCATGTTATAATATTTGACATGAATTCAGCACCGCCTCGCGCTGTGCGTGAAGAGATCAGCACGCGCGCAGACGTGTGTCCTCGCTCCAATGCAGCGTCGCACGTACACACGCACGCACCCACACACAAACTGTTACCGCGCTTGGCATTGGTATATTGGTCGCGGTCTTTTTAGCTGACATGGCTCTTTCGTCCTGTGGCAAAATGGCAGCAACTCAAAAGATTGAACCAAAAGGAGTCTTCTTCTTTTTCTAATTGTTAGATTACGGCAAAATGCGCCAAAATGGCTATGAGGCGGAGTCAATATTTGTTATTTTTTTCCTCATCAAATAACGTTTTTGCCATGCCTCCACACTCACAACATACGCTCCTTCTCCTGCTCCTCCTCCTCCACACACTCTGACCACATTTTTACGCCCAAAATCCACTGCACTCACAGTAGCATGAACGTTGGACATACAGTGTTTGCTAATGCTTTTATAATATGTTTTTGATGTGGATATTCGGGCTCAACATTGACAATAACAGCGCTCACACACCTGTCTCGCAGCTCCTCCTCTTCCTCCTCTGGTCACACTCCTCTCTCCTCCTCCTCATACGGAAGACGCGAGTATCCATCTCTCCGTACACTGGGCTCATTCCCGTTACTTTCTTCACTCAGACACTGCTAAAGTTATCTGACAGCTCCGTAAAGTTTTTTTTCGGAGGACCCGCTGCGTAGATAGCTGCCCTCGCGCCTGCCTGTTTACAAATCGCTTTTGGTGAAAATTTGACTTCACTTGTAATAATGTACTTTTGAACAAAAGAAATCAGAGGTCCAGAGAAAGGGGATTAGGGGTCCGAATTTGGAGCGCAGTCCGCCCTTTGGGGACTCTTGAACTAGTATATTTATTTAATAAAAAAATAAAAAAAAGGAAGGATTGCGAGGCCCTGTGCGACGGCACAGGTCGCACAGCCCTTCCGACGGGCCTGCATTGGCCTGCAAATGGACGGTTTAGCTAAACTGTTTTATTGCTAATGTTTCAGTAAAATGCATGTGAACATTTCTAAACGTGTCATTGACCTGCAGCAGAAGCGGCGGCTCGGAGGCAAACAGGAAGTGAGGGTTATTTAAGATTCTGCTGTTTCTATCCATGTAAACTTCAAATAATTTCTCACTTTTGATCCAGAACCCTCTCTGCTCCTCCTCTGTTCTCTGCTTCTGCTCCTTTCTGCCCCTTCTCCTCTGCGCCTTTCCACCTCTCTGCCCCTCCTCTCTTCCCCTATCTACCCCTCATCTCCTCCTCTTCACCTCTCTGCCCCTCCTCTCTTCCCCTATCTACCCCTCTTCTCCTCCTCTTCTCCTCTTCCTCTCCATCTTTCTGCTCCTCCTCTTTCCACCCCTCCTTCTCTCTACCCTTCATCTCCTCCTCTTCACCTCTCTGCCCCTCCTCTCCTCTCCTCCTCTCTACCCCTCTTCTCCTCCTCTTCTCCTCTTCCTCTCCATCTTTCTGCTCCTCCTCTTTCCACCCCTCCTTCTCTCTACCCTTCATCTCCTCCTCTTCACCTCTCTGCCCCTCCCTCTCTACCCTTCATCTCCTCCTCTTCACCTCTCTGCCCCTCCTCTCCTCCTCTCTACCCTTCAGCTCCTCCTCTTCACCTCTCTGCCCCTCCTCTCCTCTCCTCCTCTTCCTCTCCATCTTTCTGCTCCTCCTCTTTCCACCTCTCCTTCTCTCTACCCTTCCTCTCAACATCTCTACCCCTCACCTCCTCCTCTCTACTCTTCCTCTACTCCTCTCTGCCATTTCTCCCCTCCTCTCTGCGCCCCTCTCCACTCTCCCTCCCCTCTCCTCTTCTCTACCCTTCCTCTCCATCTCTCTGCCCCTCCTCTCTCCACCTTCCTCCCCCCCTCTCCTCTCCATCTCTTCCTCTCCTTCTCTCTGGCCCTGCCTTCTCCTCCTCTGCTCCTCCTGCTGCCTACATGTCAGTGCTGTCGCAGTAGCAGGAGGCGCAGGCCCCCAGCAGAGCGCAGTGCGTTGCCGCGGGGACAGAAGGTAGAGAGACATTAACGTAATGAGCCACGAGAACTTTGTCACAAACCAGTGGCGGAAACGCATTGATCTCCTCGTCTCTATTTCGGCGCTGAACGTAATGATTTGTTTCCTCGCGTTTGAACGAGAGAATAAAAAAAAAACCCTGTTCAGTTCTTACCGGCGCGGCTCTCGGTAAACACTGTGTTCTTATGTTCTCTGCCGGATCCCGAGGCCATGCAGCAGATTTTTCATTTGGCTAAAAGCTCGGTAAGAGGTCTGAGAGAATGATAATCTGCGCGCGGGCCGCAGCTGCTGCTTCCACGGCGCGGGTGATTAGTCGGGAGCGTTTTGCATTCGACCTGGAGAAATTCTCGCAGTGGGAAGTGAACGTCTCTGCAGCACGCCCCCGCCCCGCCCCTCCCCTTTCGCCGTCGGAGCTGCTCCGGAACAATATGAGATGACTTATGGTTACGGCGGGGAATGGCGCTCACCTGAATCCTCCGCAGGCGCTGGTAATTAAGTGTCTTCACAGCAAGAAAAAACAACAAACTTCACTAATGACGTTTGTAGCACTTTAAAGTGAGTCGAGAATCACAGAAATACTTTCATTAAATCAGACGCAGCAGAAACATGGCTGTGACAGAAGGAAATGAGTCAGACATGCAGGAGTCGGTTCTATGAAGGAAGGTCATCAGATAAAGATACTTTTATATTTAATTTCAATTGTTTGTATTTCATTTGAATTGTTTTTAGAATATTTTAATATTTTTTAATTTTTTTATATTTTTCATTTCAATTTTCACAGTTTTTCACTTTAAAATAATTTTTATTTTGTTTTTTTAATTTTAATTATTTTGATTTTAATTTGTTATTCTTTTCATTTATATTATTTTTATTTTTACTGATTGTATTTAATTTGTATTTATTTTTTCTATTTCAATTGTTTTTATTTAATAGGCAGACTTGTTTATTTTAATATCCTTGATGTCATCTGTCAGCTTCATTGGTATAGCACATTAACAACAACAACAACAAAGTGCTTCACGGGCACAAACGATACAAAAAATACTTTGGAAACATTTTTTATAAAAAGCTGCTATAAAACTAAAGTGGGTTGGAAGATTGGCAGCCACTTCTTTGACCAGTCTGCCCCAAGGCAACATTGTCCTACCTCAGTCTCTCATTATCTCGAGGAGGAGGAGGAGGAGGAGGAGGAGGAGGAGGACATATCAAAAATTGAGAGTGTAAAAGCAAAGAATAACACGCTGGATTCTCAACACGTTTATTGATTCTATTAAATGAGCTCTGCCTCAAGGAGCGGTGGCCTGGTGGATAGCACTCTCACTTCTCAGCATGAAGGTCCTGGGTTCGAATCCCGGTCATAACAGGGCCCTTCTGAGTGGAGTTTGCATGTTCTCCCCGTGCCTGCGTAGGTTTCCTCCGGGTACTCCAGTTTCCCCTACCACTAAAAACATGCACACTAGGTTAAATCCTCCAGCTTATGTCCTGACCAAGCCGAGCATCAACATCTGGAGATGGGTTCTAGGGCGCTGTTACTACGGCGACCACTGCTCGTGACGTAAGCCTTCGCGGCATCAGGATGGGTCAAATGCAGAGGAGGAATTGCCCTACGGGGATCAATAAAGTTCACCTTTACCTTTAACTGAGACCACCATCAACAAGAGACCGGAGAGAGAGACCAACACCAACAAGAGACCGGAGAGAGAGACCAACACCAACAAGAGACCGGAGAGAGAGACCAGACAGAGACCAACAAGAGACCGGAGAGAGAGACCAGAGACCGTCAAGAGACCGGAGAGAGAGACCAACACCAACAAGAGACCGGAGAGAGAGACCAACAAAGGACCGGAGAGAGAGACCAACACCAACAAGAGACCGGAGAGAGAGACCAACAAGAGACCGGAGAGAGAGACCAGAGAGAGACCAACAAGAGACCGGAGAGAGAGACCGGAGAGAGAGACCCGAGAGAGACCAGAGAGAGACCAGAGAGAGACCAACAAGAGACCGGAGAGAGAGACCAGAGAGAGACCAACAAGAGACCGGAGAGAGAGAGACCAGAGAGAGGGATTTTAGATACATTTCCATCAATAGCCTCTATAGAAACAAAAATACACAGGTCAATCCAAGCCTTTTTTATGGCAAAAACCAAAACAGACCAAAATTACAAACATGAAATTTCAAAGGTGATCATTCCTCGTTGCTATAGTTACGATAAGAGAGAGAGAAAGACCTGAGGTACGAGAAGGGGGCGGTCTCCTGCTGTGGTTTAAGGCGGAGTCCTGAATGTGTTTATCTCATTTGTCAGACCGGTTTAAACGATTATTAAAACCTGGGCATAATTCCCTGCAGCAGGTGTAAGCCCACCCCCCACCTCACCCCCCATCCTCACCCTCCCTCCCCTAATCCTCTCCAGGTGCAAATTGAATAACTCATGGTTTTCTGAGCGTAATCCATCCGTGTATTGTCAAGGAGAAATTGCTACGGTGTTTTGCTTCTTGTTTTTTTCTCCTTTCTTTATGTTATTTTTATAAACGCCAGACGACAGGACGTTTACGTAACACGGAGGCGCTCTTTAAACGTGAGCTTGAGCTGAAATTAACCAGAAGTGGAGTTTTCTTGGAGGCATGGAGTGGTTGGACATTGCTCACCGATGCAAGAAATGCATTTACATTACCTCCAGCGCAGCACGCCACCTGGTAGAAGAGTCCACGAATAGAACACAGAAAGAGGAGAAGAGACGTTTCTGCAGATTTCAGAACGCCACGGTTTGGGTCTTTTTGTCATAAATAATGTTTTTTATGTCAGTCTGTGGAGATAAGGTCAGAGGCTCAGACCATATCTCCTCAAACAGAACTTTCAGCCCAAAAAAGGCCGGGATTTTGACAAATTTGACCCAAACAAAACATTTGTTAAATAGAAAAATATATATATTTTGATTTTAGTAAATTTTCTGTAAATACATTGCATTTACTTTAATGTACATCAAAAACAAGGAATGAGCATTTCTTATCAGACTTTTTTCAGCTAAGATTATTGTCTTTGTTAATGGTCAATATTTATTTCTAACTAAAAAACCCACAATGAAGAAATGACATGTTACATTTGGCATAAACAGGATCACTCACACTGTGCAAAAAGATGTGAAAACAACAGGAAATGTAGAAACATGTTTGAAAAGATTGTATTTTTTAGATGAAGTAACATAAAGCAAACAAGATACAGAAAAAAACTTTTTGGGATCCTAATCTTCTCACTCATTGATACACACACACACACACACGACTCGCATGCACACACACACAAACTACACTCACACACACACAAAACTTTTAAATTAGTTTTGAACAGAATAAAATTTGAATATTTTAAAATCCTTTGATAAAACGTTCCAAAGAACAGCTCCATTTTAGAGAGGTTCTTCAGACACACATACGCACACACACAAACACACACAAGCACGCAAACGCACATGCACACACACACACACACACACGCACACACACACATGCGTGCCCACGCACATGCACACACACACCCGCACGCACGAACATGCACACACCCACCACAGACACACACACATGCACACACGCACCCACATACGCACATGCACACACACATGCACGCACACACACACACACACACACACACAAACAGAGCGGTGGAGGTCTCGACCCCTCGTACGCAGACTGGCCGCTGTCACTGCATTCCGGGGACTTCTGAGGAGTTCCCCCGCTGCACTGAGGGCCCCATTGTGGCTGCGGTTTTAAACCCATGTGACCGGAGCAGTGACGAGCGTGACCCACTTGCACACGTCTAATTATCGGTCCGACGCCGCGGGCCGGTGACCTCCGAGCAAGACACCAGTCCCACTCTTTAAAGGGTCTTTTGTTCCCTGCAGTAGTGAACACATAGAAACGCCTATGTTCCATTGATGTTAACTTCACCATCATTTACAACGTGATGGGAATAGATGGGAACAGTGCCGTCACTATTTTGGGATGCAACCCCAGCGGCCATGTCACAATCGGCGAGTTTGTGTCGAGGAAGGCTTTAAAGTGAGCAATTGTTACTATTTTTAACCCTGTGAATGTAAGGTCTGTGTTATTCGTAAATAACTTAAAAATATCTCATTCTGACTTTCTGCCAGGAGAGAGTCTTTGGTAAATCAGTTAAACGTACTTTACTTGTTCGCTGGTCCCTGGTTCTAGGACAGGGGTGATGTGTTCAAAAAACAACCCACAATAAGTGAATTTCTGGATCTAGTGGCTAACGGTGTAAAAGCCGTGATCAGAAAGTGAGAGACCAGACAGAGAAACTAGAGAGAGAGCAGAGAGAGACCAGAGAGATACCAGAAAGAGAGACCAGAGAGATACCAGGCAGATAAACCAGAGAGAGACCAGAGAGAAACCAGGCAGATAAACCAGAGAGAGACCAGAAAGAGAGACCAGGGAGAGACTAAAGAGAGACCAGGCAGAAAAACTAGAGAGACACCAGAGAGACTAGAAACAGCGAAAATAGAGAGAGACCAGAAAGAGAGACCAGAGAGAGACTTGAGAGAGACCAGAGAGAGACCAGGCAGAAAAACTGGAGAGGCAGCAGAGAGACCAGAAAGAGACTTGAGAGAAAATAGAGAGAGACCAGAGAAAGACCACACACAGAAAGTTGAGTGAGATCTGAGAGAGAGAGAGAGAGAGAAAAAGAAAGAGAGAGAGAGAGAGAGAGAGAGAGAGAGAGAGAGAGAGAGAGAGAGAGAGAGAGAGAGAGAGAGAGAGAGAGAGAGAGAGAGAGAGAGAGAGAGAGAGAGAGAGAGAGAGAGAGAACAAAATAACAAATAATGAAACTCACCAAAACTTGCCTCAGATCAAAATCCAACACCCAAACTCCACCCTAGCATTCGTTCTGCTGTCGTCTCCTCTCCCCCCGTGGGCCGCCAGATAAAAAACACAGC